AAAAAAAACGAATAGAAAAATGAAAAAACACAACACACAAATACACCTAAATAAGATTATTTTAGTGATTTGTTAATCAAATATGTTCATTCATTGTTTTGCTTTCTTTCTATCCAAAATGTGGTGTATCACGCATATCTTCATGTACACTTAAATGTTCTGTAACAACATCATTAAGTGATGGTTCTTCAAGTGCATCAGCTGCATAACCATCATTTGTCGAACTAAATAAAGAAAAAAAAAATGAAAAGAAAAAAAACTCATGATTAAATAATACATATAAAAACTTACGTATCTCTTTCAGGAAAAAGATCACGTGCATTACTTGCTGCTAAATCAGCTTGATGAACAAGTGATGGAATAGCTTCACTAGTTGATGAACGTGGATCAGTAAAACATAAATAATAAGTTAATAATTGTAATTCATCAGCAGTAAAGTGTATTTCATCATAGAGAACATGATAAAGTGCTGGACGATTTGTACCTTGAAGTGCTTTATGAGAATTAAGAAAAAAACTAAATTGACCAGGATGTACAACATCTGTATCAACAACAAGTCCAGGAGGAATATTAGCCGTTTTATTATTATGGTCAAGTACAAAAAATCGTGTATGATGACGTTTTTTAACAACAATAAACGTTAATAATGGAGATGGTTCTTTTACATAAACATCTAAAAACAAAATATAAATAAGATTTTTTTTTGTAATATTAAATTTCAAAAACAAAAAAGAAAATTTACCTTGAAATGCTTGCTTTATTTGTGGAATTTCAAAATTAAGAACACGTGAAAATTGTCCATCATCAACTCCTATTTACATATGAACAAAAATTATTTTTATATAGATAAACTTTATTATTTACCATCTCTATAAAAGACAATTTTATTTGGTAATCGACTATTTGCTTCTCGATAATATTCTAATAATTCAGTAACCATTTGTTTTAATTCAACAATAGCTTCAATAGCACATTTTCCATTTCTTGGCCATTGTTTACAAATTCGAACAGCGCTTGTTGAACATACTGCATCACCTGAGCCAACAACAGCTGCAATCGATGGTTTATCTTGTCGACATACAGGATGAATAACATCGGCACCCATAAATTGCCATATATCTTCAGTTTTTGATGTTGCTGATGCAACAATACCATTAGTTGTACGAATTGGTAATTCAACTTTTGTATTAATACCTTGCATTTTAAAATTAATTTTTCTTAATAAATTTTCACACATATTATCTAATATACGATCAGGATGACCACGTTGTGTACGTTGAAATCTGTCCATTTGTTCTTCAAGTTTTGAATATAATAAACATTGAGTTACTATACCTATTAGAAAAGTAAATATGTCAATGAATTAAATAAATAAGAAAAAAAAACATTTAAATACCATATTTAACTGTTCCATTTAATTTAATACTAGGTCGTAATTCATTCCAATGACTATCCATAATACAAATAACTAATTCACATTTTTGTTCTTTTCTTATACGAAAACATTTTTCAATAGAATTTAAATTTTGCTCACGATCTTGTTCTTTTTCTGATAAATAAACAGTGTCCTTTTGAATTGTTTGAATTGGTCCTAAACGAAATATTTTAGCCATCTAAAACAAATAGAAAAAAAATCAAAAAAAAATTATAAGACAAAAAAATAATTTACTTTGTTAAATGATTCAACAAATTTTTCCATTAATATTTTTCTCTGTGGAGGTAACGGTGGTGGTTGTGGACCAAAATATACAAACGCAATCGA